TACGGCCTTCTAGGACTTCACACCAACGGGACTTGGTTGCAACCCACCAATGCCTAGAACAATCCCCAACTGTGGAAACCACATACCTATTACCTCCCAATGATGCTCCCTTGGAAGGCCTCCGAATGCCTGAATGAACATCCCTCAGAAGACCCCTCGAATACAGAAGTGCCAAACTCCACTCGGTCTTCTTGCTCATACCAATTGGTTCACAGGACTTCAAACTGCAGGTCAAAGCACTCCTCAACAACCTATACATGACATTACCAATCAAATAACCCAACATCAAACAACGCCACAATCTAGCCGAATCTGATAAAGTCGTCAGCTCCCTATCAATCGCCGTGCATCCGAGTAAATAATACAAATTGCTCCTTCTGACGCCCTTCATCACAATCATGAACCCCAATGTGACCTTCAAGCATGCATCCACTAAGGTCACCCTATAACCTGCTGCCTCCAAAGCTCCAAGTGAAATGATGTTCATCTTCAATTTGCGGAACGAACCTCACATCATCCAACTCTCTCATCATCCCATCACTCATCCTAATCCGAATAGTACCAATACCACCAATAGAGCATGCGTGTCCATTACCCATGAGCACGACATCCTCTCTTTCCAACTTTTGAAAGCTGGAGAACCAATCCCTCCTAGGGCAAACGTGGTAAGAAGAACCCGAATCCAACATCCACTCCGTAGAGTCGGCATCACAAACCGATGGTAGTACGGATAATGAATAGCCTGAAGAATCTGAATCTGAATTGTTGCCACCATTCTTGACAACATTCACCTCTGAAGCTTGTACAGCTTTGCCCTTATTCTTCTCAGCTCTATCTAATTTTGGGCATTCAGCTTTGCAATGTCCATACTCTTTATAAAAAGTACATTGATTCCTACGAATCCTACGATGTGCACCTCTAAACTGCGACCTCCTACTTCGGTTTGAACCACGACCTTGAACTACTAATGCATCTCCCGATGCCTTCTCGGAGGACTCATCAACACACTTCCTCAACTCATAATTCACCAACGCTGAGGTCACCTCCTTGTAACTAACAGTAGTTCTTTCATTAATCATAGTGAGAACAAAGGTACCATAATCATCCTCGGGCAACAAACACAAAAGTAGCATCGTCTTGTCTTCATCCTCAGCCATGATATCCACATTGGCCATGTCTGAAAGTAGCTTCGTGAAGTTGTTAACATGCACCCTGATGGAAACTCCCCTCTTCATCTTGAACTGGTAAAACCTCTTCTTCAAGTGAAGCCGATTCTCAATGCTCTTAGTAAGATACTTTTCATTAAGTGTTTCCCACATCTTCTTCGCCGACGTCTCGTTCATCACATCATAAATAAGATCCGGCATCAAACATGACCGAATAACTCCACACGCCCTACTATTCATCTTCTTCCAAATCTTTTCTTCCATATCAGCAGGTTTCTCTTGCAACTCAAGAGTCTCTTCCAAGTTTTGAGCGTCCAACGCATCCATCACTTGGCACCTCCACAAACCGAAATTGATCTTGCCATCAAACTTCGGAACATCGATCTTCATGTTATTGATGCTCAAACTATGTATCGTCTTCGTAAGAGACGATCCCGATGTGCTTGCTTCACTCATATTGTCGATCTAACTCTTCAAATAGGAATCCTTTCAGAGAATCCTTCAAACAAGCCTCAAGTCGAACCCGAAGCTCTGATACCAATTGTTGTGCGCGACACGGAAGCGGTCGAATCACACAATCCAAACAAGAGAGATCACAACCAAATAAACAAGCACAATCACCAAATAACACAAGAGATTTACGTGGTTCAGCAAGTTGTCTACGTCCACGGGGCAAGAAGGGGATGAGGTTTTCACTAATAGAGAAATGGTACAAACTGAGATTACAAATCACTTGAAGGAACAAACTAATCTCACCAACAAGCTCTTAATTTCTCCAAACAAAACCCTAAACAAATAGCTCAGAAAATACCTCTTTTCTATGCTCCAAATATCCCCAATTTTTTTCTCCAAATTCTCTCTTCCAATTGTTCCATATATATAGAAATCCTAAAATCATAAACATACTAGGAATTCTAAACCAAAAGCCAAATCAAATTAGGAATCCTAATAACCTATTACCAAAATAGATTAGGAATCCTAATAACCTCATGTTACCAAAATAGATTAGGAATCCTAATAACCTCATGTTACCAAAATAGATTAGGAATCCTAATAACCTCATGTTACCAAAATAGATTAGGAATCCGCTATCCAATATTCACATTATATGAAAATGGACATTCTTAATGAGTTGATAAGGAACGAACTTTCCCAATTAAGTAAGAACAAAAAAATTAAAATAACTACCAAATCAGTTATGATTGCTTATTTATTACCCCCATCAATCTTGTAATTCCCTCTCTATTCTATAATCACTTCCAAACATGAGAATAGAAATTAACATTCTATTAAAGTATTTATTCTATTTTATTTGATACTTCATCATTCTCACTTTACTCAATTTTCGTATACTAAACAAGACATAAGTTCGTAGCAGTAATATGTAATTGGCACCTAATATGCATTTTCATGTGTTAATTAATATGTTACCTGAAATTAAAGTATTATTCTAGCATATACAATTTAAGAATTTTAAAGGTAGTTAGCAAAAGGATAGGTTTCATTTGTTTATTTTGTGTGTGAATTATATAATTTGTTTACTTGGCCTTCTCCTCTGTCTTGAAATTTCCATCACATTAGTCAAAAAAGTCATTGTTTAAAGGGACCGTTAATATTTTTTGTCGACACGACATCTTCTCCGTCATTTCCCCTCTCTCCTCTCTTCTCCATATCAACTAAATCGTCTTTTTCCCTTCTCCATCTCACTAGTACAAAATGAGACATCCTAAACGGAAAATCCCGTCTAGGATACTCAAAATTCAATCTAAAAAACCTATCTCAAACGGAATTCCGTCTAGGATGTGAGTCAAGTATGTTTCCGTCTAGGATACGTATCCTAGACGGAATTTCCGTCTAGATACATCCTAGACGGATAATCCTAGACGAAAATAAAACCTGTCTAGGAAGATATCCTAGAAAAAATTTTCGTCTAGGATAGCTTCCTAGACGAAAATTCTAGACGGATTCCATCTAGGATAGCTTCCTAGACGGATTTTATTTCCCTCTAGAATTTCCGTCTAGGAAGCTTCCTAGACGGAAATTCCGTCTAGGATACTTCCTAGGCAAATTTCCATCTAGAAAATATCATAGACGGAATTTCCATCTAGGATACGTGCTGCAGTTTTTTTTTTTTTTTTTTTTTTTAAAAACCCCCCCCCCCAGTTTTTTTTTTTTTTTTTTTTTTGCAGAACCTACATCGCACGACATATAATATCACATGTACACAATATAGCACAACACCAAATCATATTCATATCTAATTATATTCAACATAATCTAATTATATTCCAATATCAAATTCAATTATATTCAAATAATATATTCACCAAAAATACTAGAACGATACATAAATTGTTGACATAGATAATAACTAATTTTCTATTTATATGTTTATTTACAATTGGAACCGCAAGAGTCGAGAACTTTCAATGCTTCTAAAGTTGTTTAGAGATCAGGATCACCAGCATTAATGTAAAGTATGAGGGCAACCTACAAAATAGGTAAGAAGGATATTAGAGGTTAGCTTAATCAGTGATTGACATACAATTTTAAAGTCAAAGCTTACAATGACAAAAAGAAGAATGTGATAGCAACATTAGTCAAAGCAGAAGCATCAAGAACCTCAACAGGGCCATCATAATCCAAAGACGACGGTCTACTCGATGAAGAACTTGGAAATATACTGCTAGATTACTAGATATATAAAGCTCATTCAGCTGCAGATAATTTAATTAAGCACAAATCCCATCAAGGATCCAAATAATCTAAGCACAAATTCCTGTCAAAGATTGCTGGGCATTCAGAAAGCTCGTCCACAGAATGATCAACGACGACAGTCTCAAGAAATACAGAAAGGAAAAGGAAGTCGTCCGTATGCATGGCGTCGATGTCATTGCTTCCCCAGTGAAATGAGAATGAAGACGGAGACGAAGATTCAGATCTATTTCACTTTCTCAGGGAGGCACTCGCCATCCAGATTGTGGAAATAACAAAGGTCAGCAATCGTTTACAGCGAGAAGAGCAGCATTTCCACCTCAAGAAGTCTGGTCTCACGTCAGCGGCAAAACCTATACTGTGAGCATCACCACAAGTATGGGTACAGCATTTGACAATGCCGCGTGTTCAAATATATCATTCACATATGTTTGCGATGAGATGCACTGCAGAGTCTCACCAGTACACTAGCTTAAAGGGGAAAGAATCGAAAAGTATACCAGATACTCTTTTACAGGGCATCTTTCTGCCAAACTTCTGATGTCCATTACTTTTTCAGTGTGGTCACCCTGCAGTGTTTGTAAAGGGCCGAAGCAAATGGCTGATATGGACCCTATTTGTCTTATAGCTTCATGAATATCACCTGAAAGTGCATCTGACAAGAAGAACATAGACAGATTATACACAAATTCCGTAGTTGGTAGAGGGGAAAAAGAAAGGCAGAAAAATCAAGTTAAAAACAGCATATTACCGTCTGCAGTTCTCAGCACATCACGTGTTGATGCTGAACCTTCATATCAGTCAAAGGTAGACATAGATACAAGTCCTACCAAATTGCTGTTCTCTTGATTTCTTGGTCTATTTGAAACAAAAAATAATATGGAACCAAGTAGAATTATATAAGTCAGCAGAACTAACTCAACTTTTAAATGGATACAAGCTATCTTTGTAAGATATCCTATAACATTATGAAAAAAGTTTAAAATCACAGAGGACGAACTTATTCCATGGAAGACTTAATTTCTGCAGCATAATCTTTATTTAACTGGTCTACTAATTTAGCATTCTCCAAATGTTCGGTAGGCTGACATACTTTCTTGGAACTGCTCACAAAACAAACAATCGACGCCCTCCTCTTCCTCCGCAACCAGGCCCTCGGCCCGACCGACATCTGGCTCGGATCCCGCGCGGACTTCTCGAACATCTTCATCATGGGCTGCAGCGCCGGCGACAACATCGCCTTCCATGGGTCGCTTTGGATTTTGAATTTTAGCTCGGTCTTATCTGTTGAGTGAGATGAAGGAAGAAGGGGATGAAGCAAGCAATAATAATAGCAGTTATTATTCATGGAAGCAATCTCTGCCTCATGTTTTGGTGGCTACAATATCTTCCTTTTTATTTGGTTATCATCTAGGGTACGATTAACTAAATAACGATTTTAATTGAAGGAATTTTGTGCTGTTTAATCCTGTATTTATTTGTTTGCTGCTGCCTTAGTGTTGTGAACGAGCCACTGGAGAGTATATCAGTGGATCTAGGGTTTGCTGGGAACACCTCGGAAGAAGGTGAGGGTTTTGGTTATTTCTAGTGGTTGTGAAAGGAATTAAGGTTCCTTTGTTAATTTTTGGTTTTTTTTTGATTTAGGGCTTGTGGTGAGCATGTGCTTGGGTGCAGCGAAGGGCATTTCAGTTGTCTGCTTTGCCATCGGAATTAAAGTTCCTTTGTCATCGGAGCTTGTTTGAGGTAGTGGAATTTCTGATATTACTACTCGCTAGAGGCGTCATTTGGATGAATAGACAGATTGATTCAACTATTACCTTGCCTCTATCTTTGCTTGTCTTTACGCTCAACACACAAGTTAGCTTATTGAAGAATTATTTGTTGCCTTAGTATGATACGTGTTTTGTAAATTAGGTTCTTCAATTTAGTTTGAATCTTTAGAGTTTGGCATCCATTGCAATTTATCTGTTTATCTACAATCCATGATTATAAACTTAAGAGTTTGGAGAGTATATCTTTATATGTTGCTTTTGGCCTTTAAATCTTTGTATCTGATTACTCCCGCAAGCGTGGTTGATTAAGCTATGCTTCTTTATCTTTGAAACGCGAGATTAAGTTTTCAAGAACTCCTTGAGATGAAGAGGGAGCTATGAGTTTATGATAACAAACATCAGCAAATGCCACGTCCAAAAAAATTGGGTTGATCTAAGACATCTTTTAATTGGAACATAAAGCATTTTCAATTGCTTGTCTTCAGTTTTCAAACTCTTTAACTTTGTTTTTGTAATTTTATGTTTCCAGTTAGGAGCAGAGAGTACAGACTATTAATCATACTATTACCGGGTAGTAACCTGTATCTTGCAGCATTGGATGGTTTGCAATGTCAAATAATTACGTATACACGTGAGCACCTTGGGCACCCTGCCGTGGTTGCTCTGCAAAAACCATGTGTATTTGAGCAGTTAGTATTATTGAAGAAAATATTTAGCTTTTCTGTTTGTGACAACTGAAAAAAGTGAGACATGTTACATTGAAATGACTTTGTGTTCTTGTTTACACAGCATGGAAGAATTGATGAAGCGGGAGATGAATTTGAGAAACTTTTGGGAGAATCACATGTAAAATCAGCATTAGAAGAATTGTCGCGCGCAGACAAAGGGGATGATACAGAGGGTGTAAAACTTTCAGAATTACTCTATGGTTGTCATTTTAAAGGTGGGTTTTCACGTGTAAATTTCATCCTGACTTGTCTCGAGTTGCGTTTACTGTTATTATTTTCTTTTAGAACTTTCTTTGTGTCCTAAGAAGTTCTGTTCGTTGCAATTCCTCTTTTTTGTAGAATGGTAGAACTATTCAACAGATAAGACCGAGCTAAAATTCAACAGAAAGCTTCTCAGGAATAGATAAAACTTGACTAGTTTTGCTTTGAGTTTGAGAAGAAGTAATGATATCATGTGAACGTGACACGGAGGGTGCATTCAATTAAACTAGGATATAACACCTTTCTAATGCTATTTCTTATTGAATGTAGATGAATCAGTATTTATCATATATTTTTATCAAAAGAAAAGTATTGATGGAATGATTTCCCATACACAGGTAGCATTCGACCTAATGATGCTTCAACAACTTGGAGGAGTAAATGCAATTGGATTCTATAAATTATGCAAAGTTCATCAAGTTATGTAAACAATTGTATATGTATATCTAGTATTTTGGTGAATGTATTATTTGAATATAATTATATTTGATTTTGAAATATAATTAGATTGTGTTATGAATATGATTTGGTGTTGTGCATATTGTGTATGTGTACATGTGATATTATATAGCTTGCAACTTAGTTTCTGCAAAAAAAAAAAAAAAAAAAAAAAAAAAAAAAAAAAAAAAAAAAAAAAAAAAAAACTGTAGCACCGCAACCTAGACGGATTATATAGAAAAAAAAAAAAAAAAAAAAAAAAAAAAAAAAAAAAAAAAAAAAAAAAAACTGTAGCACCGCAACCTAGACGGAAATTCCGTCTAGATTGCTACAACCTAGACGGAAATTCCGTCTAGGTTGCTATATTTTCATCTCGGTTGCTACTGTAGCAACCTAAACGGAATTCCGTCTAGTTTTATCTATCTAGACGGAATTCCGTCTAGGTTGCAACCTAGACGGTTATGTTGATTCCGTCTAGGTTGTTCTCCGTCTAGGTTGGTCAATCTAGACGGAATTCCGTCTAGTTTGAGTCAATATAGACGGAATCAAAATAAACCGATCTACCTAGACGGAATTCCGTCTAGGTGAACCAACCTAGACGGGGTTTGGAGCAACCTAGACGGAAATTTCCGTCTAGATTGCTCGTTTTTCTACTAGCAAGCTAAATTTTAAACGGATGTAAGCTATATAAATTCAAAGTCATTAATTGCTTCCCCTCAACCGAAGCAATAATTATCGGCAAACAACAAAAGCTATATCAGTCAGTTAAACTCTTTCACACTTCCCTCCAAATCTTTCCAAAAATAGAAACATGACACTTCAAAGCTTGGGGTTTTCTCTAGATTTGTAACCTAAACCACAACTACTACCATAATTATCCCTAAACGCACTGATCAAAATCAAATCTACTCAAGTTCTTCTACAACCCTAACTTCTCCTGAGATCTGAGCGGGGGATTGAGCTCCTCATCGAACAAGTAATGATGAAAATCCTCAACAACGATCATGGATCTCGCCAACTTCCGGATGATGTGGCGCTGCCGTTGCTGCCGGATCTGATCGAAGATCCGATCGGCCTCCTCGCCGGAGAC